TTTTTTTTTTTCAGCATATGAGAAATTACTGGTGCTTGACACAAAACCTGTGATTAGTGTTAGGTAATATTCTCTCACATGTCTCAATTAGCCCTTTTTGCTTATCACTCGTGATAATAATCCACTCTTCCGGCTTTTCTATTTTCAAGTCTGACCTCAACAACCCCAAAAACCATTCCCAAGATGCAAGAGTTTCACCTTCAGCAACACGCCATGCAATAGGATATAATCCATTGTTAGGATTACATCCAACTGCAGTCAATAATACCCCTCTGGTTGCCCCCTTAAAAATGTTCCATCCAATTAGGGATGTAAATGGGTCGGGCCGGGTACGGGTTTTGACAAACCCAAACCCGACCCGCATATAATTTACCCTACCCAAACTCGACCCATTACTCGGCTAGTGATCTTCGGGTTCGGGTTGGGTTTTACCTGACGGGTTAGTGGGTTTTCGTCGGGTAAACGGGTAATCCGAGTTTTACATTTGGGATTTATCCGATTCATCTCGTTTCATATAAAACATAAAATAAAATAATTTCAAAATTAATTATAATGTAAGAAATAATTTATTAACTAAGATTGACAATAAAAGACTATAAAAAACTATAATATTGAATAAATAATGAGTTATAATTATTTATCTTTTATGGTTACTTTAATATTATAACATTTAAAAATTATAAGTATTTAATTTTTTTATTGTACAATTAACAAAAGATGATAATGAAATTATAAAAATAAAATAAAATTTAACCATTAATCAATATTATAATACATAATCTAATTTTTTAAAATACACATGACTACTTTTATATTTATAATAAGTCATATATATATATATATATATAATTCAATGATTGCGGGTAAACGGGTAGGGTAATCGGGTCGGGTAATGAGTTTGCCTACTTTACCCGCAACCGACTCGACCCGGGGTTCGGGTAGTATTATGCTACCCAAACCCAACCCGAAACCCAATCATCTCGGGTTTATCCGACCCAAAAATGCGGGTAACCCACGGGTAACCTGACCCTACGGGTTTTATTGACATCCCTACATCCAACCCAATAACTGGCCTGCAACCTGCTAGAAAACCCTCCATCGGACCAGCGAAACAAACATACATCCTCAGAAATCTCTTATAACCAGTCACTTGTTGCCTGAATAAATGATCTGACCTAGTGTACTTCCAGGGTTACTTCTCAATATCTCTCACAAGTAATCTCTGATAGTTGCATACTGATCAGGAATAGCACCAAACTCAATCCTCATGGCAACTCTTCTGGCTCTATAAGCTTGTTTCTTTGTGAGAAAGAACTTAAATTTCTCCTTGGCCAGTTTCCTAAATCTCTTAGTGCTGACATTTTGATTTTCCTTAACCAGTGGCACACACACCCTTCCAGCCAAAGTAGATGTCACTAGGCCTGCAAACGAGCCGAGCCGAGCCGAGCATTAGCCTTATCGAGCGGATTGAATTTTTTTTTGAGGTGCTCGAGCTCGAGCCCGTCGAGCTCGATTTTTGGTGCTCGAGCTCGACTCGATCAAAACATACAAGAGCCCGAGCTCGACTCGAATTCATAATGCTCGAGCTCGGCTCGAGTTCGGCTCGAATTTTTTCAAGAAATTTTGTAAAATAACCATTAATTACATATATATATAAGGGTATTTTAGTAATTTCACATATCTCGATCCGCGCGCGAGCCGCTCGACAATGCAATATATAGGCTCGAGCTCGACTCGAGTTCGTGCTCGAGCCGCTCGAGCTCGACTCGAGATCGGTCAAACTCGAGCTCGAGTCGAGCTTTGACTCGAGCACTCGAGCACTCGCGAGCGGCTCGCGAGCTGCTCGACTCGTTTGTAGCCCTAGATGTCACTCCCTTGTTCTTGTGCTTGAATTTGCATTTATGCTTAGGTACAAAAGTAGTCACTCTTGGGGTCCCACTGTAGTTGCTTATAGATCTCCCGGTCACAAGTGTTGCCATCTCTTTCCTTGATCCACTTATTCTTCTCACATAGTCATACACAGTGCTTGAACCCTTTCTGAATCATTCTTCTTAAACTTCCATCTTCTTCCTCTTTTGACATTCCAATGTTTGATTGCTTCCTTGCACTCTTTCAGTGAACTGAATGCCATACCACATTTAATGGGTGGATTATGCATGTCTTTGGGATAGAAGACCAATGAATTCTCTGCATCTTCAATCTCAAAACCCTTTAAACTCTGCAAGTCTTCCTCAGAATCAGTTGCAATATCTGAACCATTGTCTTCATCGTAATTCCCTTCATCATATTTATATTCTTCAGTGGCTTATATGGAACCAATTTTCCACCATTATGTACGCTGGTTTCCTGTTCATCTCCATATTCATTATCCTTCTCATCTGGACCATAATCAGATTCCTCTTCCTGCCACTCACCATCACCATCATCACTGTCACTATCACTATCACTTGCATCTTCATTGCCTTTGGTGTGGTGTTATCTGGAAAGTCATACAAGATCATCACCCTATCCCCACTTAATATATCACTACCCAATTCTGCAACTTTGGCATCAG